TACATCTGTTAACTTGGTACACTTCAAATTATGCCCATTTTCCAAAACTGGCCTGCTCTGAAACCTTCTGGCCTTCAGGTAGCTCTAGACAAATCTCAATGGGAGGAAGAGAAGGAGTCTAACAGAAGCATACATTTACGGACCCAAACCTTTTTCTCTAGGAATGTGTTGCAGAGTTTCAATGTCTTAGTTGTATATAAAACAACCAGTCACCTCTACTGACAGCCTCCCGGCACATAATGAAACAACCTCACCAGCGTGGGATCCTGGATTCGGCAATATCAGGGGGAAAAAAAAAAAATCAGCTAGAAGTAGTAAACTAAAGCCCAATAATCTTACTTCAGGGTGGGAGGGGAAGCTTTTCCTATGGGGAGCCTGCTGTAGTTAGTGCTGCTTCACGAGTCTGTATGTCATCCTTGTGCAGGGGCCACGGTAATCTTCTCTGCATTGCTCCAATTTTAGTGTATGTGCTGTGGGAGGGAGAACTTTATTAGTGCTTGTTTTCGGATAGGTCCCTCACCAGGTACCAGCTTCTTACTGCCCTCTGCTGGTTAAATATGAGGTCAGCCTTTTTTTTAAATTTTTATTTCTTTTTAAGATTTTATTTATTTATTAGACACAGAGAGAGAGACAGCGAGAGGGAACACAAGCAGGGGGAGCGGGAGAGGGAGAAGTCAGGCTTCCCACCAAGCAGGGAGCCCAATGCGGGGCTCGATCCCAGGACCCTGGGATCATGACCTGAGCTGAAGGCCGAGGCTCAACGACTGAGCCACCCAGGCGCCCCGGAGTTCAGCCTTTTAAACTTGTGTTTTAACCAACTGCTATTTTAGTAGACAAGTAAATAAATGCACTTGTTCACATTATTTTTTTTAACTTTTATATTAGTACTTAATTTAATCCAAAGAGAGCCCTATACCATTATCTCATTTCTTTAAATGTTTTTACTACAAAAGCAATACGTTGAAGAAAAAATAAGCAAAAGGTAAACCAAAATACCCACCTTTTCAGAAACCACTAAAACCTTGATGTATGTCCTTATATCCCTTTATTTTTACAAAATGTGGTCCTATTGTACATTTTGAATATTGCTTTAAAAGTATATGAACAAATGTCCTTCATATTGTCTGTTTTTTAGGCACTGTAATATCCCATCATGTAATTGTAGGTTTTAATCATTCTCCTACTTTAACGCTAAAAAAAGTATATTCTCATAGCCCTGTGACATACTAATAGCTATAATCATGCTTTTCCTTGTAATCGGTCAATAAATGTGTGCTCTTAACTAAAGGCATTCTGAATTGATGCTGTACAATTTTTTTTCCTTTATCATCAAAAACTGAGTAGTTAACAGAACCTGTTGGATTGGCAGGGCCACGGGATGGTCACCAGTGTCTCCACCTTTACATATTTCACAACCCAGTTTAGTTCATAAAGAGACTTGAAAGAGATTTTCTACCTACAGAAGTACTTCTCTCTCTCCTCTTCGGCACTTTTCCCTGTCCAAAGCTAATTTGCTGCGGAGACCAATTTAGGAATGCAGTGATGATGGTGACTATGGAGTCAAAGAACAAAAGCAAAGGGATACTCTTAAGGAATGCTTCATGCAAACCAGGAAAAAGCTGAGAAAATTGCCCCTTTTGTGTAAAGAATCCTCAGGATCACCTTCCTCCTTCATTTCTAAGCCTTTCCAAGCAAAAGCCAGATTGTAATGCAACTTCAATCAGCAGACTGTGGTTAGGTCATGCAGGGTTTAGATAAACAGTTGACTGAAACACTTTGCTGGTGATAAAGCAGTTTGAATTTAGGTGTGTTTGTGCTATTTGAAGCACAAGCCATGTTTTTTTTTTTTTAAAGGACGCAAAACTTTTCGCCCCTGGGGAGTGAGCATCAGTCTGAATCCTTCTGGACACTGATGCATTAATATGTAGCCCAAGTCCCAAATGCCTGACCAAAGATTATCTTCAACTTTGACCTCCATCACCCCTCCGCCCCCAGCACCTGGCAACCAGCAGAGTCACACCTCACCCAATAGATTCTCTGATAAGAGGCTGGCAGCCACCATCTTGGACACCTCCTCAGCCAGGCCATGATGCTTCCATTGCTCTTGCCGGAACTTAACTGCCTGAAAAGTTCTGGCTTGTGGATTGAGCTGAGGACTGACTGGGAAGACAATGCCTTAGCCCCTCTCAGCCCGTCCCATCATCCGCATGGAGTGATGAAAGCTGTGATCTTATCTCCCTTTCTTGGCTAAATACCCTCACCTTCCTTCTCTGTGGGTCTCAGGTATACATCAAGAGGCATTAATAGCTTACTTGAACATACCCCTCGAACCATCTAAAACTCTGCCTACACAACGGTTCCGCCATTGCCTCTATAACCCAGTTGAAAATGAACAAATTCCTGTTTTTAACAGACACCAACTTAATACACCCGTCATTATTCCACTATGGATGTCCTGGGTTTTTTTTTTTAAAAAAAGCATTTAAAGTGGCTTACCAAAAACACATGTAATAGAAATTTTAATAAAGCCAGGACCAAGCAAAAATTTAAAGTAAAATAGTTAAGGACAAAGAAAACAGAGTATTTGGCTTGGAGGTTTCTTACAGCCAAGGTGAATGGGAATGCCCAAGTCTCACTGACCATAGGAGCAATAAAACAGTATAGTGCTTGGCTCAGGTATGTTTGGGTCCATGAGGGAAGTCCTCAAGATTCTGAGTGCACACAGCAACTGGTTTCACAAACTACCATTTTCCCATAAAAAAGGACACCTGCTTCAGCCTTAGCACTTGAGCATGGATGAGCTGCCTTGTGAATTCCATGTAAGCTATACAGACATCACAATCAGGTTGAAGTTACATTTCAACTGGGTTTTGAAAGATGAGTAGACTGCCAGAGAAAATTGCAGTTCAGGCAGAATGAGCTCATAATCACGAGAGTAGAGTAACCACATGAGAGCAGCGTGGACGTTAAGATGAAGTGAGCAGTGACAACAGCGTTAGTTGAGCAGCTACTGCAATCAATGAAGTCTGTGATGGATATACAAGGTAGAAAGGCAGGAGCAGACGCCGGACGCCTCTGCCTTGAAAAGTGGTAAATGCTTGGTGCAAAGCCTGATACACTAGATATTCAGTAACTACTTACCTCTAACTGAATAGTTTATGATCAAGTTCACTTTGAGGTATACAAAAGTTGAGGTACAAGTGGGTGTTCACGGGGTGCTCCCTAGTGCACACCATTTGCCTAGAATGGACAAAAACTGAAACAGGAACTCAGATTTAGAAAAAAGGAATCTAGGGCAGAAGCTACAAGAAAGGTCCCAGGAAGGCTGCACGAAGTAAACAGGGCCACAGCAGAACTCTAGTTCTAGTGGAAAGGGAGAAGGGACCAAGGAGAAAGTGTGGCACAGTGTTCAAGTATGGACAGTAAGTTATTCTAGAAAATACAAGAGATGAAGAGAAAAAGGCTGTGAAGCTATTGAATTTAACCACAAAGACCTTGGTGACCACGCTGACATTTAACAGAGGACAAAAGCCAAAAAGACAAAAGCAAATGAGGATGGAAACCATCATGAGCAGTATTTTGAGAACAGCCACAGTAAGGTGGTAGATGTAGTCAAGGCGAGTATTCCTTAAAGAGATTTAAGCAGGCTTTCCACCGGGGGGGTCAGTGGATATGCAGATATCAAAAAATACCCAATACTGATCTAAGTCAGGGTGGAAGGTTAATATTCAGCAGTTCAGCTTCAGTTTTCCCAACACACTAATAAAAGCAGCCTGGGTGAAAAAATGGAAATGCAGTGTTGTACTCAGCCATCCTCCCTAGCATGAGCTACAGAATTCCCACAAACCGTCAAACCTAACAAAATGCTGGAAAAGAGGGTCTTTGCTACTGCATCAACAGCTCAGTGCCAGATAAGACTCAACTGTTTGCTTCATAGATGTTGATACAAACCAGAATTCAAAGCAAATAGAAAGTCCTTTCCTTTGAAAATTCCAGATAGCTTGGGTTTACATTTAATGGTAGCAGATGGACCCCAGGGTACAGTATCTAAGGAAACTATCCTTAAGGCTTTATGAACTACATTAGCTTTAGGGCTATTGAGGCCATTCACTCCACCACAGTAGGAACCAGGCAGAGAACAAGCAGCCTTTAGTGATACTAGAGGTTGCTACATTATCTAAAGGCAGGCTTTAGAAAAGGCTTGAACCTATAAATTCCCAACATACCAAAAAAAAATACAAGTGAGCATTCAAAACCAGATCTGGCTCCCATTTAGCTTTATGTGCCCCCGTAACTACACAGCAGTACTAGGAAACTAGTGTAGAGAAATTCAAAGTATCCCCTAGCTCTAGCAATTTAGCAAGGATTTGGATTTTAACATTTCCATTAATCCTAATTCATGCTTGCACCAACTTGGTCCAGGCCTGAAATACATGGGTCATCACTGACTCTCCCTGGGGAGACTGAGACTTGAGCATATTGAAGCATATCCTGCTTCTGCGCTTAACACATAACACCAAGGGTTAACAAACACCATGGACATGCTGACCTTCTCTAATGGGTACATCCATATGCCCTTCTGGACATCCTTTGTGTCCCACAGTCTAAATCCAAACCTGACCACCTTTGTATTTTTCTTTGATCAACTTGTTCACCTTTTTCAACCTGCCATCAAGCTGCAGGATTACGAAGTTAACATCTACACCATGACTAGCCTCGGCCCATTTTTCCAGGTCCTAGGCTGTCTAGTCTTCATTGTGACAAACAGCACACTTAAGAAACCCTGGCTGTCAATCACTGTAAAACTATCCTTACTTAGGTCATCCTGTTTTCAGTTTATAACACTTTAGTTACTGACCCGTTAGAGTAGGCTTTCATTTAGAAACCAGGAAGAGATAAATAGGTTTCCAGTTATTTTGCCAATTCTACAATGATTATCTTTTCTCTGTCGCTAACGGACCTTATTCTATTGCCCCAAATTAAAAAAAACAAAAAACAGGTGTGGAACAAAAACCAAGTTTATTTGTTCATTTCTTGCACTTGAAGTATTCCTCGATGACATCCTTCGCCTGAGACTCTTTGCCATAGTCCTAAAAAAAAATTTTTTTTAAATTTTAAATTAACATTTACAATACCAAGTTGTTAGCACTAGTTATGTTGAAGCTTCACAGAATTACTTCTTATGAAAATGTTTCCATCATTAAAATTTCTTATAGCCATTTTCAGGGACCTTAAGGACTTCAAGGTCTTTAAGGCTCGTAACATGGCATTCCTATTGCCAGCGTTTTCTCAATTTCTGCAGAAACACATTCAGGTAAGCAGATTAATTGGCTGGCTTAATTACAGCCTATTTTCCTCTACTCAAAAGCAGAAAAAGAGATTGTAAAATACTGAAAATCACACATTTCTTAGGACATCCCCGACTTTCTGAAAAACTAAAATTCTGCACAGAATCATGCAGCTCCCAACACAACTTTCACCCCAGAGATAAACACTGACTTACCTTAACCACCACACAACTGCAACCAACCACTTTACGGGGTTTTCCCTCTCTGTCAATTTTACAGAGGCCTACCCATTCCCCTAGTTTCTTGTTGTCATCAACCTATTGAGATGAATTAAGAAAAAAAAAAAATCACCATATTAGCAAACATTAATGCTACTGACAATTAATCAGACCCAAAAGGTAGCTGTAGTCAGATAGGGTGACATGGCAGTTTCCTCATGGCAATTCAGTAGAGGGAGCCAGTTGTCATCATGTACAGCCCCAAGATCACCTAAAAGCACTCTACCTCACTTCTGTTCTATACCAACACCAAAACTGGCAATTAATTCTGCAGGAATAGAACATTTCTGTTACTAGCTTTGCAATCCAAGATAACAAGTCTAGGTGATGTTTTTCACACCACCAAAAAGCAAAGACACTTTCTTTACAAAATTTACTGATCAGATAAAACAGCATTAATCAAGACATAACCCTAACTGGCTGAATTTTCATTAAGCTAAAGCAGCTCTTAATTCAGATAAATAGGTAACTTACCTTGATTAGGTTGATTTGGTGTTCAGCACAAAGGGCCTCCACCAACTTGACATACATAGGCTCATCACAGTTGGATGCAAGCACACAAAGATGGGCCTGGCGCCTGAAACGCAAAATCCAGCATAAGCTAAAACTCAGGTCTGAATCTACTACTCTCGGAACTTTTACAAGGGATGTATCTTTGCAATCACTGGCCAAACACAAGCGACACCCCACTGGAGAATACAATGCTTCAGTTTGAGGAACCTGTTAAAGAGCATAGATCCATTCATCGACAAAATCAAGCCTCCAGTAACTCCCCAAAATACTAAGCTTATATAAAATTAGTTGCCAATTTGTAGGCAAAGCAGTATCATGCTTTCTTGCAAGCCACTTAAAACACGTTTATAAGCTATCGTGTGAAAACACAAACTACCTCTATTAGAGTTGTTACCCAGAAATTTTTATGTGCAGCACTGCCACTGCACAAATAGTGCAGGGAACACACCAGGACCTGAAGGATTTCCAACAAGAGTGCTATTCCCAGTGGATTCAAGTCGCTAGTCTACACCCAAGTGAGTTGAATGAGCTTACATTTACTGGCTAAGAAATTCAAGTGTCAAATACTTAACACTTGCAGTTGTTTTGCCCAACCAGCCCCAAAACTAAACGAATATATTTATAAATGCTCCATTATTTTTTATTTCCACAGCTACTACTTTCTCATTTGAAAGTCCAGGTGCTTCCGCAACATTAGCTTGAAATTCCTTAGTTTAATATAATGGTTCGACTTTTACAAACTGCTAAATGAGGATTCTTAACTATCCTTTAAGTGAATTAGCCACACAACCTACAGGTTTGTCAGACTGTTATGTTTCACTCATAAAAAGAGTGAAGGGGTATCCGACAACTTAAGTCATCATTCAAACACTGTAGTCTTACTGTAGTTAAGTCAAATACTCATTCCCATTCCAAACAGAAACCCACAAACTTTGTGGGCTACATAGATCTGAGTTCTGATACCTTTTCCTAGGTTTCCTGTAGGACGGATGCCATTCAGAACTTTTGTGCTAACACCATGAACTTCACGCTTTCTTCCCTTGGTTGCAGTTTTGTTCCGGTTCCAACAACCCACAGTATTGAGACTGATACACGTACTTGTCTAAGGCTTTGGCAGCTTCGCGAATTCCACGTGCTAGGCCATCGTGGATGAGGGCGGTCTTCAGCACCTCTTGTAAAGCAGTATTAACGTCCATTACACCTCCAGCAGCAATGCTGAAATGCAGCAAATCAAGTGAAAGCCATCAGTAACTTCCCCCACACGACACCTAAGACCCTGGACTCAATCATACGAGGTGCATCGGGTGCCCTTAAGGCGCCGCGGCCTACCCTGACCCCGCACCGCCCGCTCACTGTCCACGCCCTCCCCGCACCAGACCCCCACCCTGGGCTCACCCTTCCTCGGCCATGGCGGTGGATTACGAGTGTAGCCGAATCTTGACTGCGCTGTAATACAAATACAAAGAGAAACCAATTGGCTAAAATAGCTCAGCCAAGAACCAATCCCCGCCAAACGCAACGAAAACACCACAACTACCACCCCAACCTCGTTCAACTCACCGCGACCTTCCGCCTCCGCGCGTCTCGGCGGCGGCAGGGAAAGAGGTCGTACGCGCCCGCATGACGGTATTTAAGGGCTTCCCAGGACCCCTGTGCGCATGTGCACTCCTTTTCATGAAAGAGGTGGCTCTGGTGGTGCCGGGCCTCGAGAATTTCTGTTTCCGGAGAGAGGCGATTCTGAGACAAGAGTATTCCTAGTCTTCTGACTCTGCGCCGCTGGTTATTGACACGCGCAACAGGCACCAACGCGGGCAGCCTCACACCACTCTTCCCCGCCAGAGGCGGGGCCTACGGAGGCCCAGAGAGCTCGTTATACGGAGCGCGAGAGGGGCCAGCCGCGTCTGCGCTGTCTTGTTAGGTCTCTGGCCCTTGATTTCCTCGCTAAGTTAGTTTTAACCTTTGTCACACTACATTGTAATTTTTTGTCGGCCTCACTAATTGGGCCTTCCTGCATGGCACGCTCTCCCTTCGCTTCTAAGTCACTCTAAATGTCTGCGAATGTGTCGTTTTGTGGGTGATCCACATTTGTTGTGAAACGAGAGCCAGCACGTTTTCAATACTAAGCACATAGTAAATTCCACTTCACCGGCGATGTGTTAGTAGAGTGGAACCTTAGGTTTAGGGTGGTTCGTTACGGTTTCTAAATGTAGTTGGTTCTAAATGTAATTTTTTCTTTTTTTTTTTTTAAAGCTAGATTGTCCCCTAAATTCGTAATCCCGTGCAAATCGGGATTCAGTAGGTGCATTAAAAACGCCTACAATGTGCCAGACACAGGAACTGGATCCGGAATAATAGTGATGAGAACGTGGTCTTTGAGAAATCCGGAATTAATTTTGCCATGCAGGACTGGCGGAGTTAGACGTGGAATCTGAGGACCCTAGAACTCTTATTACCAGAAAAAGCCTTTTGATTTTTGCATTTTTTGGCCATTCTCCTATGCCCATTTCAAAACGCAAATATATGAAATACGGCCGCGTATTCTCAGCACAGTCTCTCTCTCTTCTTTTTTAACTTCCTCTCCTGACAAGTCTCCAAGCCAGTCAGCAATTAGGCTTTTGATAAGTGCCTTTTGATAAGTGCCGGTACCGTGGATACAGTGAGATGAGTGCTGTGAGAAAACAAAAATGAGTAACGTGAGTGCGGGGCAGAACTAACCAGAACAACAGAGACATACTGGAATTTTAGTAAATGTATATAGTTCATTTTTACCTTTTTGAATGCTTACAGATTTTCATTTTTAAAGTGTTGAGCTGTTTCTATTCATAATTCATCCTAAAAGGCTGCTCACTTATTTGTTGACTTAATTACCTATTGAACATTTGCCTTAAAAAAAAAAAGCTACGGAGTTTATAAGAATGAGATTTATTTCTGCAGCTCTCACAGGTTGTAGTAGGATTAAGATTCGAACCAAAGATTAGAATACCTAAACGCCACAGGGAAGGTACAAAGTGGCAAGGGGGTTAGAGAGTGGGGATGATGTGGAAAGAGAAAGATGAATTTGAGTCTGAGGCAACATTTGAAATAGGAAAACAACAACAAATGAAAGAGTTCCAAACAGGGAGCATGAGAGAAAAGGAGAGGGTATTCTAAGAGAAGGAGAGAGTAAGGCAAAGGCACGGATGTCTCCTTGGCTTTTTTGGAAGTTATCATACCACTTGTATTTTCCAAGAGACAATGTGGTAGTTTAAGCAATTTCTAATTATCTAAAGTTAATAAAAGTTAATGTGCTAAGCATTAGATTTCATATCAGATTTCTCCGTCCCCCCCCAAAACAAATCTTAGAGAAAAGGCAGAGAATTTGGTAAAAACTCAAGAAACATAAAAGGGGATAATAATTTGCAAACAATGTATTTATACAGAGGGAAAACAATTAAGTACCTTTTCGCTTGTGTTGTTGATTTCTGTCTTCTAGCAGCTGGTAGTCTATTATGTAGATTCAAATATCATGGGCCTATGCCTTAATATTTCACCTTATGAATACTTTTTCTGTCAGTTGTAACGCTCTTTCCTTAGAACCAGACCAATTTTTTTTTTTTTTGAAGTTCTAGTATATAGCTGTTTCTAATCCTAGGAATGAACTTAAAGGACACAGTGGTGATTCAAGGATTCTTTCATATAAATTTTTTTAGTTCACTTGCTTAAAGTTACCGCCTCTCAATTTTAGATATTGCCAAAGGTGGAAGACAATACTAGAGACTAAAGGCCAGAGTCACTCTTATACGAGCAGATTATAATACTTATAAAAAGTACACAAATGAGCATCTGAAATACCCATGAAAGGTAAATTCTAAAGTTTGTTTTAGGAACAATAAATAATAGTAAGTGATTTTGTTTAGCACTTTCTATGTGCCAACTAATGTGCTAAATTATTATGTTTTCTCCCTTGATTGTCCTTGAGACCCTACATGTTGGTGGTGGTATTAGCCTCCTTTAACAAAGGAAGGAAATAAGCTTAGAGAGTTGCTCAAGATCACACAGCTAGTAAATGCAGAAACTGGTATTTGAGCCCAATGGACTTCAAAGGACATGTTTCCAACTGCTCATCCATTTGAATGATTGCCCAAATGTGGATGATCACAGAATTCAATAACTCTTCACATCTGAAGTTGGGAACAATGCAACTGATTCTACTTCATTGTGCTAAAAAGCTGGATAGATGGAGAAGGGAATATTGCAGTGTTAGGCAGAAAAAGAGAACAGTAGAAATTTGCATTCCTGATCTTGTAGATATTTTATTAGTTTGCTACAGTTGCCGTAACAAAGTATCAAAACCTGGTGACTTAAACAATAGAAAGTTTTTTTTTTTGATGATAGCCATCTAAAGGTGTGACTCGATAGCTCCTTTTAGTTTCCCTTTGCATTTTCCTGATGATTAGTGATATTGAGCATCTTTTCATGTGCTATTTGTATATCTTTTTCAGAAAAATATCTATTCAGTTCCTCTGCCCATTTTATTTTATTTTATTTTTTAAATAATTTTTTATTGTTATGTAACAATAGAAAGTTATTATCTCACAGTTCTGAAGGCCAGTAGTCTGAAATCATGGTGTCTGCAGGGTTGGTTCCTTCTAAGGCTGTGAGGGGGAATCTGCTTTTTCCTGACTCCTAAATTATGGAGGTTTGCCAGAAATCTTGGTGTTCTTTTGCTGTGGCAGCATAATTCCATCTTCACATGATATTCTCCCTTTGTCCAAATTTTTCTTTTTTACAGGGATACTAGTTAACTTTTTTTTAAAGATTTATTTATTTATTTATTTATTTATTTATTTATTTATTTATTTATTT